CTCTCTGCGACCATGAATATCGTAAGAATATTGAGTTTCGTCAAGAAGTATTTTATATTGTTTGTTATGCTTCTATTTCCGCGTGGGGGAGACTTTTATCCGGCGCACTTTATCAGGCATTTTATTTTGCGTGAGTTTCGGGCGTTATTTTGGCGGCGGTTTTATCTTCGGGTATTTGTTCGGCCGCATATGCTTTCCGTTTATCTTCTTCTGTTTTTGACATTTTCTGTAGTTGTACGAGTATTCTCGATAGAATTGCTTTCCTTTTTTTGTGGCCTATGCATATTCGATGAGAGACGATCCTAGGTGATGTCTAGGGGTGAGAAAAACCGGTTTTAATATCGGTATACCGGTATTTTTTATAAACTATTGTCGAAGATGTAAAAATTTTATTTTGAGATGAAAAAATTAATTTTATAAAAACCGGTATTACCGGTTAACCGGTATTTTGGCTTAAAAAATACCGAAATACCGGTATACCGGTATTCAAAAATAGCAATATTTTGATTTAAAAAATTCGTAAAAACATGTTTTTCCGGTATATTTACATTTTGATTGAAAAAAACACCAAAATACCGGTTTTTACCACAAAATTCACATCCCTAGTTAATCTTTTAAAGATCCCTAAATATTTTAACGTACTTTTGGCCCTGTATTTATATATTTAGGCTTTTAGCTACTACGAGACCAACCTATTACTTATCGCCGCAAGTATAATATATAAGTGTGGATGTAGACGTGGATGAATTAAGGGTTTTAGTACACTTTAGTACCGTGCAGCAGTACAGGAGGTGGTTGATGAGCTGCCAACTTGTAAGTTATCTGCCTTTTTGGCGCCACATCTCACTTGTCTACGGCGTTACGATCCGGTGGCGCTTGTCCTTTATTGCTTTGTTGCTCCGGTTCTGATGTGGGATGTGTGGGATCGGCTCTTGTTACAGAGAGTTTGCTTTGTGTGCAATCGGGAGTGTTTTTCTCCTCGCCGTGAAAGATCCCGAGTGACCTGCCAGCGTCCTGCTACTATTCACCGGCGGAGGCGAAAACTTGCGAGAGAAGTTGAAGCATGAAAGAAACTTGATTTATTTTCGGTCTTTGTAACTTCTGCAAGTTGCAAAAATGACAAATATTGCTTGGGAAATCTTTAGAGTTTTTTGGGGTTTCTATGAGGTTTATTAAAATTTTTATTGCTTCTGTTTAAAAATTGTGTTTTTCCGAATACGTCAGAGTTATTTATTTTTTTCGTTGCAAAAACTTGAAAACTATTTTTAACACCCTGTAAGTTATTTTTGAGGGACAAAAAGTAGCCTATGTTATTTTCCTGTGTCTAAACCATCTCCATACCAAAATTTATCAAAATTCATTGAGTGGTTTTTGTTTTAAAGAGGAACTAACATACAAAAACCCTAAAATCCGCATTTATAATATTTCTTAGTATTGACGTTTTCGAAATTTTGTTTGTTTTAAAAGTTATGAATGTTTTATTATGTTTTAAGACGATAATCACCGTATTTATGTGCACTTTGCACAACATTGAGGCCTTTCAAGTCATAAATTTCCTCCGCAGTCTGCGATTATTTTTTCGCCAGCGTCTTGAATCCCCCGGGAAACTGCATCGCAAAATAGTGTTAAGTGTAAAGTGAAGAGGCGCAAAAGAAAATTTATGACGCCTACAGTTTTAGAGCTCTTGTGGTGTGTTTGAAAGTGCACAAAACACACTCCTATACCGGTTCTTGAACTTTAGCGTTTGCTTTTGCATCGATATTTCAAATAATATTCTGTGAAATATTTAAGCTCTTGAATACATTCAAGAGTCCTACTGAAATGCGCTCTTTGGGCAGAAGAAAATAATCCGGTTGAAGGTCTGCTGCTACACAATGCAAAATCAACAAAATACAAAAACGAGCGAAATGGACGAAAAGGATTAAAACATGCTGCCAGGTAGAGCGCGGATGTTGTTTTGCTGGCCGAGAAATGTGAACTGTGAACAAGCGGCTTACTCGTCCTGTTCCTTTTTCCGGTGGCAGCGCCAGCGCGCGGGTAATCATGTTTTTGTTTTCGCTTCTTTCCTCTTTAGCACGCTCGGCTATTATATCGAATTTACAGTTTAATTTTAGCATTTTGTACTCGTTCTTCACTCCCAACAAGCTCTCAAGTATTTTTAAGCATAAACACGAAAAATGTCATAAACGGATTAAAATATTATATGCAACTCTGTATGCATGTGTGTTCAAAAGTAAAGGAAACTCATGAGAGCATAAAGTGCAATTTCCGAATGCATGGAATGCAGAATGCTGTGTTTGCTGTCTCCTCGAAAGTTCATTTTCATTTGTGCACACGTACCACACAGCGAAATGACAACGGAATGCATAATGTTGAATTTCAACGCAGAAAACGCAGATTTTATTGTTTGACGTTTAAAATTGACGTTTCACTCGTGTCGTTATCGACTCGTTAAGCATCGAGTGTCATCGACGATGGCACACGATGACACGAAGTTAAAGGATGCTAATCCATCATTTTTTCAATATAATCCTCAGCGATGCATTCATGTCACGCGCATTCCACCTACTCGTGTCTTCCGAAGCAGAAATCCACCGAGATTTTCACCGAAAACCGATTTTAAAGGTTATGTTTGTGTATGTATACTCTAACCTCAATTTTAACCTATATTTTATAATATTCCGAATTGTAAATTGAGTCAAATCCAAACAAATCGCAAATATTAACTTGGCAGGCGTGAAAACACAACGTCGATTTTATTAATTATGAAAAGCGAACACGGGGCTTGATTTTTACGCCAGCGCGCGCAGTAAACACATCAGCGGCATCATCATCATCATGAAATTCTCTTGAAATTCGCCTGATGTGTGTATTTGATACGCTTTGACGCTTGCTCGGATGGTTAATAGTTTGCGTGCGAAGGTGGCGTAAACATAACGCTTGCGTTCGCGATTTTGTTTGTGCGATGTGAATGAATGATTAATTAAGATCTGATCATCGTCAATCATAAGCGCTGGGTTTTTATTTAACTACCGTGTTAATATAAACAAACTCACTCAATACCAACTTGTAACTTAAACATAAAATAGTTAAATTTTGAGGTTATTTTTTAAGTTGGTGTTTTAGTTGGCAGATGGCGCTGCTTGTTAAAACTGAACAAATTACAACGTTATGTGGCTGGCATGTGTTAGTCTGCGACCCTAAAAGGGTTTATTGCGGTTGGGCATGCATTGTTGGTGATGTCCTTTACGCGCGAACGGGGTTTATGACGATAGGCGGGGGTTTCATATCAGAGTTGAGCGGGTGGTGAACCGCAAATGCCAAAATTCCGAAAATTATGCATTCACCAATCCCACACGCTTAGTTTCAGCCACATTTACATGAAATTCAATATCCCTACTAATATTATAAATGCGAAAGTCCTGATGTTTGTTACACTTTCACACAAAAACTACTTAACCGATCATCATGAAAATTTGTACACATATTCTTAGTGGTCCCCGAATGGTTATAGGCTACTTTTTATTTAATAAAAAAATTTATTTTTTAAATAAAATAAAGAAATTGTTTAGCCAATAATACCTCTGCATCTGGCTATTTGACTTCTTTAACGCCATCTAGCATTCCAGCAATGAAGCTCAAACCTAAGTACTATAGTACCATTACACTGTATTATCACACTGTATTACCGACAGCTACGTCAACATCAAATCCAATTGACTTCACTATGGAGACTGTACACTATACTTCCATAGACTATACTTTCAGCCATTTTAAACTTCCCGCCATTCTACTTCATTGTTACTTCTTCTGTGACTACAGACGCGTACGGAAGCAACTTCATTATAGATATTCGCGAGCGAAGCTAGTTCGCAATATTTTTATATGTATTTAACTAGCGCCATCTTTTAAATTTCGTTATTAGCTATTATTTGCTTTCAAAAGCTCAAATTTACGCATAGAATCATTAAAGAGTTATGGCGGCATAAGTGGATGACTGAAATAGCTCACCAAACGAGGTACTAATCCGACATAACCAAACTTTTGCATGCAAAATGATTTTTGACACTTCACATAAAACATTTTTATGTTTTCATGCAAATTATGAGCAAAAAATTGAATCGCACAGGCTGTAACCTAGATAAATTCGAAAAAATCTTTCTTTTAAATTGGTCCATTGCGAATCCGGCGTGCGTGAGTGTGCGTCTAGCTCTAGGTCAAATACTTTTCGGTGCCCGGCGCGCTCGCGTATAAATAGCGCGCCGCGCTTCGGTCCGCCTCGCACGGGGGCCATATTAATAGCAAAACGGCGGACTACACACCAATTTCATAACATTGTAGATCTGTGCGCGTAGCTATAACTATTATTACTATCAGTGAATCACCTCATTATGTGCGAGATGAAAATGCACGCATTAAATCACGACATACGATACACCATCATAACTTCGACGCGCCACGCATAGATGGCGCAATCATCGCAGTGTGCAGTCATCTAGGGTTATTACAGTGAAGTAATCTGTTTTAATTAAATATTATTAGTTTATTTTACGCTCAATGACCGGGGATTGTGATGCTAATGAAATCGACGATATTGCCTATAGGATATTTATTTTATTGCTCGCCGAGTCTCGTAAAACTCATGTTTATTTCTCGGCGTTTTTCTCCGCGCGCGATATTTATATAAATGTGTTTGTGCGCTTACTTTTAATAATATTGAGCGGTCGTTAATTGTCTGAAATGTTAATAAACATTCTTAAACGTTTATTTGAGTGTAATTAGTTATTAGTAACGTTCATCAATATGTTTGACGTTGCGCGTTGTGAATTTTGAGGTTATATTTGCAATTTCCGGCCGGCGGGGTACGAATTGCATTAAATTTGCATGTATGTGGGAACATCGACCGATGCATATAGATGACATCACTCCAATTAGAAATTATTCGTCGATACTCTTGCGTTATTCAGGAATATGACGTCATGTTTTGTTTTTGCTTGCAGAAAAACCATATTCATTCCTATCATCAAAGAGGATAGCTACGAGAAAGATGTTTTGTTCTATGTGGAGCTTGGAGAACCGCAAATGTCTGGCGGTAAGTTTTTTTATTTTAATTTTAAAAATTTTTTTATAAAAATTTTCAATGATTTTTTGATTATTTGTGAATTTAGCAGGGTTTTTTATATTTATTGGCCGTTAAATCGGTTTATCGCGTTTTATTACGGGGTTGGGACTCATTTAATGGTCCGATTTGAAACATTCTGCAAGTCTGCAACAATTATTCGATCTAATGTCGTTTTATTTGCCAGGCTTTGTCGAGCTACGATTGGACTCTGCTAATCATGGCCTAGTTTCATTTATTTTACTAAGTTACGTTTGTTTTTTGATTTCGATTTTCAATTTTCTTGTGAATACTGTGATTATGACCATCGTTATTTCATGTGCGTCTTTTTTTCCATATATCTCTCTGTCTGCTGTGCTCGAAAACAATCAAAACTCAATTCCAAAATATGCACTATTGCGTGTTGTCTTCTTCTATCATCCCCGTCCGACCCTCCATGTTGTTGTTGTTGTGTGTCACATCCTCATGCAACACTGATGCATGCGAAGTAAGTAAAATCCTCTACAAACTTTGATTATTTCTGTTTGAGTTCTTAAACTGCAGTGAAAACAACCAAAATTAAATTTTTTACATTTTTTTGGTTATGTGTGGCAACACTGCTTTCTGTTGTTTTGTGTTCTATATCTGCTTGTAGTGTTTTGATGACACGATAGATGGCGTTGCATGTTTGACTTTCATCTTATACAACTAGGCATGCGTTTTTCTCGAGTTTCTTTGTGTTTTATTTGTCGTCGATGATAATTTCGGTAAGATTGATGGTTTGTTTCACGCGCGTGTTGTGATTTGTTGCGCGTTTGTTTTTCTTTCCGGCTGTGTGGTTGGTTTTGTCGTAGTAATGCAGCCGCTGACTGATTGCGGTCATTTTGTAGACGAAATAGCCAGCCTCGCAGCGTCAGCCGAGCGCAAGAGACCGGAAGATCGCACCGAAGCCGAACGCATCGCCATCTTGGGCAAGCCTCGACTCGGCGACATAACCAAAGCACAAATTAGGATAAAGGAGAGCAAAGAATTTAAGGTTAATTTTTAATTTAATAAAAATATATGAAAATAATGTTTCTAAATGTTTATTAAATTAGAACACTGTGGATAAATTGGTACAACGTGCGAATGCATCTTTACTTATCGGTACGAACTCCTGGAAGGAGCAATTTATCGAAGCGCTCACAGTCAGCGCCAGCGACGACGCCGAAGAAAAGTCGCCGTCACGATTTGATTACATCTGCCACTTTATTACAGTCTTCTGGAAAGTCATCTTTGCGTTCGTCCCTCCCACAGGTAGAACAAACAATTATCACCCAAGTCCACAACTTGAGTTAGAATTATAATTGTGTGCGTGTCGAATTGGGGGAAAAAGTTAATCAGTTTTTTAATTAATTTTTGTCTCTCCAAGGGATGTTCAACGGGTATTTGTGCTTCGTTGTCTCAATTTTTGCCATCGGAGTTGTCACCGCTGTCATCGGCGATGTCGCTTCACATTTTGGCGCGACGCTTGGCATCCTTGACTCGGTCACCGCCATCTTGTTCGTCGCATTGGGCACTAGTATTCCAGGTAATATTTCACCACCACAAAAACCAAGAAAAGTTATCTCATTCGTGTTGCGCAATATTTTACGCGGTTTTATCGCGCCGAAAATTTTAAATGCAGCGAATTATTAACGACCGAACGATAAATTCACTCTCGCGAAGCCAAAAATGTGCGCCAGTGGAAAGTAGCTCGATGACTTCCAAGTTTCAGCACAAAAGACGACAAAAACTCGCGTCCATCATCAATTTTCATATTTTACGCGTCGCATTCAACGAAAGATTTTGTTTTATTCTTTTATGCTTGCTTGGATTTGTATGCAACCCACGATACATTTAATAAAAAAGCAGATACGAGCATTTAGGGAGCGGTTGGCGAGATCGCACGCGAAGTGCATTCAAGATTGCGCGCCCGAAATTTTCCGTCCGGCGTCCGGGGCATGAAAATTCGATAATAGAGAGATAGAGCGAGTGGATGTTGAGTACGTTTACCCCGAGCCGCGCCAGACGCATCGAAAACACTCCCCCGTACTCCAAAGGGACCAAAGGTTGTAGCATACCGCAACAAAATTGTAATCCTGCAGAGAAAAAGGTAAAAAAGATCGTAAAACCTCAAATTGGAATTACACCCGCAAAGAAAACGAGATGTAAATGAAGTCCGCTCGTAAAACGCCAGAATTTGCTCGACGTGTTGCCTACGATATCATCTCTGCGACTGAAACGCGCACGATTGCAACTTCGCTTTATACTTTCTACTCCACCACGCGCCACGCCCACAATCAACAAGCGGTTGCCATGGTAACGCTGCACTGATGCACCCTACACATCAATCATGTCAACACTGTAAACCGAGCTCATTGTGAACGTGATCTTTATTTGATTCTCCTAATAGCGTGTTTATGTCTGCGCCGGATGTTTACAAACGACGCCAGGTGGCAGCATGTGTTCGTTATGTTTATGTCTCTTGTGTTTTTCTCGTGCACGCAGACACGTTCGCAAGTAAAGTGGCCGCTATCCAGGACAAGTACGCGGACGCCAGCGTTGGCAATGTGACTGGCAGCAACGCTGTCAATGTCTTCCTGGGCATCGGCGTCGCCTGGTCGATAGCAGCGATCTACAACCCAGTGGTTCATGGCAAACCCTTCCTTGTCAGTCCGGGCAAGTATGTATTATTTAAAAATCTAGTAACTTTTGGGGATTTTTGTTTGTTTGGTGATTTTTTACAGCTTGGCATTCTCTGTGACGCTGTTCTGCACATTGGCGGCGGTGACGATCGCCGTGCTGATGCTGCGAAGAGTGAAAATGATCGGCGGCGAGCTTGGCGGTCCGACAAAGCTCAAGTACCTCACCTCTGGCTTTCTGTTTGCACTGTGGGTGCTCTATCTGGTTCTGTCCACACTTGAGGTGTACCATGTCATTCAGGGCTTCTAAGTCATCATTTACAACCACAACACTCGATTATTTATTGCCATCTTTGTTAAAATACAAAACACACACGCCCTCAGACACGTTCGATGAAAATTTGTTAGGCACTAAAACTCGAGTGACGCTACCGAGCGCGCGTCGATTTGCAAATGGCGGCCATCATCACACACACATACACATATATAAAATGCATTTCGTGGCCATCTTGGGCGGATGACCACATACATTTTGGACGAGAATTAAATTTGAAGGAAAGAAACACACAACATTCCAACTTTCAACTTGACAGGCCACGAAATGTCAAAAAAAAATGGTAAATGCCGCCATCTTAAATGCATTCGCTCGGCGCTCGACTCGGTGTTCATTTGTTTTATACGAGAATCGTTTAATTTCCTCCTTATTTACGTTTCACCTTTGTTGTTCGTTTGCACTCGACGATTAGTTTTACGTAAGAGTTATCTAAAAGTGGAAACAATTACATTTACGAATTACGATTAACTATTAGGGACAATTGTTACTTTGACGTAAGTTATCTTAAGTATGAATCGTTTATTTCCTTTCAGGTATTTCTTTTCTCTGATTATTTCAAGTAGGAATGACTCTCTTTGTTATTTGTTATGATTTTGTCTTGAAATATTTTCAAGTGGAATGTATAAAATACTCAAGTGTGCGTGTTCCTGTTCCAAACCACCTCTTGTGTACCATTTGTTTCGTTTGTACAGTTTCACCGGGGAACCGTGTCCGGAATTCAATCAATCTCAGCGGTTTCACTATTATCTTCATTTTGTAAATATAATTTCAACTTCCATTTTTGTTTTTCTAACCTCACATAACCTCACTGTGCCAAAATTCAGTTTTTTGTGTTTTACGGAAACAAAAGACAAACAAACACACAGACACACACGCTGAGAAGAAAAAAAGATATATTTTATTGCGAATTTATATATTGTTGAATATTTGATAGGCGATAATATGTGTGTAGCATAAACGTAGCGCGTATAAGTTGAGCAGAAAAAACAAAAGTGGAACGAAACTCACACAACCAAAACCAAACAAAGTGTGGCAAACTTTTTTAAATGTTTAGATTGCTATATTAAATAAATAATAATTACACACATGCACACACACACACACACACATGAATATAGATATGTATATTTTGTGTATAAGACACGTCCACGTCAACGTGGCGGCCATTTTGCTTTTCAAAGTAATATATCGAAGCATAGAATCGAAAAAAAACTAAAGAAGAAACATATTAGGAATAACCGAAAAGTCTGACACAATTGGATTTACTAATGGAAACAAAAGACATAAATTAAAATCGTAGGCGAGCGAAAAGAACCAATATTACGTAGACATTGCTAAACTAACCTCCAAATTCTTAAGCTTTAGCTCTCTATGACACTATATAACTATTTACCAACCTAAACAAGCGAATATTTACATTATACTGTAGCTGATGTACACTCTCTTTACCAATGAAATCTTTACACGTTTACACGCACTTCAAAATGGCCGCTTGTGAGCTTCCGTTTGCTTGAACTTTTTGACTCACTCTCTCTGTTCTCTTGCTGTACATTTTGATAAAACTTGTGCGTTTACTTCGCAAAACCTAACTAAAAACATGTTTAATCTAAACGTAATACTTAGCAATTAATTCGACATAACCTCTATCTTGTTCGATGATGAATCCCGCCGTCTTGTTCAACCTAACCTAAACAATTACTGTGTCATATGTCTACAAATAAACACGAAACGAAACGAAGGCAGGAAACCGACGATACGCAATATATTCTATATCTAATTGTTAAGAAATCTATTTATTACTTTTTAATTCATGACAATTGTTGTGATTGCATTCAATTACGATTGCGTTCCTTAAACATGTATTAAGTCTTCCCATCAGAGATGCAGAAAGAATCGTTTCTATATGAATTGTTATCGATTGTTGATTCATTTTAAAACACTCACTTTGGTCGTGTTTTTATTCGTTTATTACTAAAGTGAAGATAGGCAACCAAATATGCATATGATGATGATGTACGCGTGAGTTATGCGCATGTGCTCATATAGATTTACTATATTCATGTTAGAACTGAAAAAAACAAACCATATGAGACCATCGGACGATCGATGTGTAAAACAAATACATATAAATTGTATTAAATCGTCGATTATTCCTCAACATGGTATTTCGCTTTCAGCTGGCGGCGGAGAATCTTCCCCGAAGGATTTTTCGGAATTTCATTCACAAAATACACGCCGCCCGTTAATTTTTTGTACGGCGACACGTGCTCAGCGACGAATTCCTGCAATTCTTGTCGAAGATTCTCCTTCGCTGTTACATTATTTCGCAGGACGACGAACGCGCGTGGAAGTTCGCCGCATTTTTCGTCTGGCACACCGATAACTCCGACGTCTGCGATGCTGGGGTGTTTTAACAAGATGGCCTCCAGCTCGATGGGCGAGACCTACACAACGATTTATTGTTATTGTTACATTTTGTGGTGATTTTTATATCTTTATATTGTGTACCTGGAAACTTTTATGTTTAATCAAGTCCTTGATCCGGTCCACAATGAAAATGTCGCCGTTTTCGTTGTAATAAACAATGTCCCCGGTGTGCACGAAGCCATCTGCGTCTATTGTGCTTAAAGTTTCTTTTTCATTGCCATAGTAACCGATAAAATTACTCTTTGAGCAAATGCAAAGCTCGCCGGTTTTGTACGCCGGTAAAACTTCGTTTGTTTCGGGATCTATTACTTTCCCTACGCATCCGGTGATTAATTGTCCTACTGAGCCGATATACTCGCTAGATGGCGGTGTGATTGTTGTGTAGTTGATTTCTGACATGCCGTAAGCCAAACGGATGTCTACATTTGGTAATCTGAAGTAATTTAATGATTTATGTGTTTAATTCTATGAAAAAATGTAGATAATTAAACTTACTTTGCTTTTATAGCTTTGTACGTCGTTATACTCAACATGGAACCAGCACAAATCATTTCTTTTAGGGATGATAAGTCGTAATTGACAATATCGTCATACTGGGCCAGGAATAAACCCACAGTGGGGACAATATACATTTTATTTACTTTAAATTCTTCCACTGCGTTAAGAAACACTTGTGGTTTGAATTTTTGCATGATTATTAACTTTTGACCGCAGTAAATGTTCCCAAATAAAGAAATAATGCCCATTAGGTGATAAAATGGAAGGTAAGCAAGAAGAATGTCTGTATTTTGTGTTCCCAATTGTGAATCACTAGAAAAATTGTTTGATTTTAATTTTTTTGTGTTTTTTTGTTTGTTTTACTTACGTTAGATAATCTAAAGCGCTTAAAATGGAGAAATTTGAGTGTACAACTCCTTTTGGTAATCCTGTGGTACCAGATGAGCAAATAATCATCACAGGGTCACTCGGAAGTATTTCTGAAGCTAAAAATTCATCAAAATCACTCATTACTAGTGTTTCTTTATGTTTAATTTGTCTTTCTGGTGGAGAAAATTCGTGGATTACAAAATTGAGGTTAGATTGTACTTTTTTAACGGTTTCCATGTTTGTTTTATTGCAAACAATTATTTTGGGTTGCAGCCATTTGCAAATTTGTTCCAATTCATCTATAAACCCAAAAATTAACATAAAACTAATTAAAATAGTGTAAATATTGTTTAAAACTTACAAGGAGTGAATGATGGGTTTAATGGAGCAAAGATGGCGTCTGTTAACAAAGCTCCCATAATGTAACTTCCAATATGAAGAGTGTTTTCAATCATCAAAGCAACAACATCTCCTTTAGACACTCCCAGAGATCGAAATTGTTTTGCAACGTGTAAAGCATTCTCCAAAATTTGATGATAAGTTATTGTTTCTTTAGTAATGACGTCCACCTAATTAAATATTCTTATAAACATACAATTTTGCAAATAATTACATCAACTTACGGCTGATATTTCATCTTTACGATAACTTAAGATAGTTTCACATAAAATAATCACTAGAGATTTTCTTTTGTCGCATTGATGCGTTGGCACTGCTTTTCCACGAAGATAATTCATCTTTTCACTTAAAATTTAATGTAATATGATGACAATTGCTTCTTGTTAGAAAGTTGAACTAGGAATGAACTTGTATCGCATTAAAATGCCAGTCATAATAATTATTCTTCAGTAAACGATGTGTTTACTACATTTTCCTTTGGACCCTGATAAACTTTAGCCCATTCACGGTCCATTTTACCAATTTCAATTGATAAGTGCACAATGCAAGTGCATTATAATGTTATAGTTATCTGACTTTGCTTTCTTATTGATTGCTTTCTAAAGTTTATCAAAGGCTGCTTTTGTTTACTATAAGTAAATGACAATTACTTGCATTTTATTGTGTGAAACATCTTTATCAACACAATGAATAGGCATTATTTGTTTAGTATTATTAGATATTTTATCAACACAGTAAGAATATCTAAAAATACTACAAGGTTTTGTGTTTAAAACACCCTGTATCTCTTGTAACAATACTGTGATTGCAAATTTAGAGTAAAAACAATGATTTACTTAAAGGAAAGACAAAAATCGTGCTACAAGTAAAAGTTTTACATTTTATACAAGTTTATTTATTTATTCATCAACCTACATAATTAACAATATCAAAATTCTTATTTTACTTTAATTGTTGATTCATCAAAGTATTTATTGTACTTCTTGTAACCATATCTCTTTGTTGGATCCTTTTTACTATTTGCAGGGGCCATGTTAGGTACTAAACCTAAAAATAAGCAAATATTATAAATAATCCACATTAAAAACAGCTCAAATAATGTATTATTACCAGCTTTCTGTGCCATTGTCACCAATGATGACATCTTCTTCTGTTGTTTACTACAGAGTCCAGTGATTCTTTTTGGCAGCATGCATCCATCCGACCGCATAAACTGACTAAGAATTAATACATCTGTATGTTTAACATCTAAACCAAGAGCACACAATGGACATTGATGCTTTGAATCAAATTTAATCATGTGTTTGCTCCTTGGAGACTCAACATACACTCCTTCAATGACCAATTCCTTGCCATTTTGTGTTTCTTGAACTAAAAACAAGTATATTAGTGTAAAAAAATATACATAGGTATATATTCTTACTTTGTTTAAGTTGTAAAGGTGTTGTAATAGTGATTGAACGAATATTTTGATGAATTTTAACAAAATTCGCTGATTTTTGAAGACCTAACCTGATGAGGGAAGTCATTTTGCTACTGTCGCTACTGCGGCAACTTCAATTACAATGAATACCATGTGGAAACTAAGTTTATTTAAATTTACAAATAATAACATAATAATAACAGCATTATAAACAAATAGTTATTTAAAAGTATAAGTAAATTAAAATTAAAGTTAATCTGAAATTAAAATTCATTCAATGTTGGTAGATAATTCGTAAAAACAAAAACAGTGACATTTTTTTCTGGTGTTATTGGCATCACTGGCTGTCAGCTGGTATTGGTTATCTCGTAATCGGGCCTTGAAGGCGCTCGTCGCTTCGTTGTGATTCATTTCGCATTCGTATTTTCCACTCCTGTCAGCCAACGTCGTCGCCCGTCGTTCCAAAGTCGAGATCGCCATTACGAGTCGTCTGCTCACCCAGCCAACGTTGTGCAACTGTGCTAACCGATTCGTGTTTAAACCGCCGTTTCGTTTTCGTTAATTATGTTTATTAGTGCCAGTGAGGCATTGAATTTATCAGAAAGTACGGAAAGTAATATATCAGAGAACTGTCTTGAAGCCATGCCTGCGTTAATTAATAAAAAGTCCATGTAAGTAACAACACACATGCCTGCCCTATCCGAACAAAATACCACAAGCGCCGCCCGCACGTACGCAATCATTTTGTGCATTCAGCATATATATTTCTACACTTCGACCTTGAAGCGTGCGCGCTTACTAAATTTCTCCAATTGAACCAATTCGGAACAATCAGATAGTTACTGTACGAAAACAATTATTGCCATCCGAATGTATCTGGAACGATAAACATTATCGAGAGAGGTTTATACGCGGCGTGCGCATATTTCATCCGCAGCGGCCTACAAAATCCAGCGGATCCAGTACTTTTCCATTACGTCGCGTCATAATCAGACGCAACATACGATAGCGCGCTTCTTTGTTATAATAACAATTTGTGTTGTTTAGATAATAATTATTCACTCATTTTCAATGAATGAAACCTGAATGCCGGCCGATGACATAAACAAAACATTCTATTCGCTTCTAGGAATATTCTAGAATATTTTTTCGCATAAAATAAAAAACTTGGCACTGACTTGCTTGCCCTTCGCCAAAATGTATATATTTGCAATGTAATCGCGGAAGTTCCTTTCACTAGTCGAATAACAACATGTGCGATGATGAAATGTCCACGTATATTTATTTATCAACATCATATGTTGATAAAAAAGGTTAATTACCTTTCATTTTTTATCATTAATGCTTATTAAACGTTTTAAATGCTTGCGGCGAATAGATTCTAGAATATTCTGCGTCACGTTGTGTGATCACTGCGTTTTTCATGATTGTGAACTTGAGCTGATTAGGTTTCATTAAGATGTGTGATAGTAACGGGAGCGTGATCATTGTATTTTGTATTTACGCCAATTTCGCAACTATTTTTAGTCGCGAATTTTGTGCGCACTTGGAACGCGCCGCCTCCGTTTGACGTGATAGTTAAAATAAACTCCGATATAAACAATAATACGCTTATTTCGCCCCTTGGAACTCTCGCTCAGTGTGATAATTGGTGTGGTCATACACACTTCGGTGTAATAATCACTGGAAAGTATTCTTTATTAGTTATTTCGAGAAAATGGTTGGCACAATGGCTGCAATTCCATTGATAAGGTATAACTATAAATAGTTTTATGATAAAACTGGTTCAAGGGTCAACAAAATATTATTCTGTGCGGCGCATTTTGTTTTGTTATGCTGACAATGCACCGGTTGCATTGTGTGTTTTTTATTGCTGCAATTGACTAATTGTGATTTGTTTGTTGTGTGTGTCAATGTAGGGAGAACTTCATGATGAGCAGTAAACGTTCCGCCGATAGCGAGTCGTCCGAGGACAGCCTCTCTAACTCCATGTCTCTGGGTGCAGGGCCTCTGTGGTGGTCCTGATGCCCCTGGGCACCCCAGGGGCGCTCCGCCGCCATTGCGGCTTACTTTCCGCACTGGACGCCAGCCTTGGGATGCCGTGCTCAGCGGCAGGACGCTCTACATCGCCCTGCCGCCGTGCATGCTGCCTGAAGGCTCCCGTGAGGCATTCGTTTCCTTGCTGGAGGCTGCCGAGGAGAAGCTGAATTGCCAGCACGTTGTCGTTGTAAGTTTTTGGACCAGGGGGTGTGAATTTTGGGTAGAAATATCAGTATTTTGTTGGTTTTATTCGAAAAATGCGATTTTTTCGTGATTTTTATCTGAAAAATACCAGTTTTTTTGTATTTTCATTTGAAAATTGTTGCTTTTTGGTATTTTTACCCGACAAATGTCGATTTTTCGATATTTTTACACCAAAAATGTCGGATTTTCGATATTTTTACACCAATAATGTCGGTTTTTCGATATTTTTACACCAAAAATGTCGGTTTTTCGATATTTTTACACGAAAAATGTCGGTTTTTCATTATTTTCGCCCGAAAAAGTCGATTTTTCGATATTTTCACACGAAAAATGTCGATTTTTCGATATTTTTACACGAAAAATATCGGTTTTTCGATATTTTCACCCGAAAAATGTCGATTTTTCGATATTTTCACCCGAAAAATGTCGGTTTTTCATTATTTTCACCCGAAAAAGTCGATTTTTCGATATTTTCACACGAAAAATGTCGATTTTTCGATATTTTCACCCGAAAAATGTCGGTTTTTTGATATTTTTACACGAAAAATTCAGGTTTTTCCATATTTTTATTCAAAAATTTCAGTTTTTCGACGTATTTATTTAAAAAATACCGGTTATTTCCCAATACCGGTATTTTCCACCCTATTTTATACATATTTAAATAAACTACTTTATAACAAACAATTTTACTTATATTTCAGGTGTTCCCAAGTGATCGCACCGACCGCGCAATGCTGGTGAGGACGTTCATGTTCCTCGGCTTCGCAGTGTTGTCGCCGACATCACCGATCATCCCGCCTCAACAAGCAGCTGGAAACATCTGCATGCTCTACACCATCGAGTAGTCCGAAACGAAAGCCTCGGGACCCTTGCCTTGCCTGTCCACACATATTAAATTAATTGATATATCACCTATCTTAAACAAAAACAAAACAAGAAACGAATATTTTCTATTTCAATTCGATCGCATTGCGCACGCGTATTTGTATCAGCTGCGCGAATGAATTCTTCTTACTTTTACGTTATAACTATTTGGATCATTCACTCACAACGATAACGATTTTCATAACTATAACGGGAATGATAAGCTAATGAATCAACTCTCTTGGTAGATTATAGTTGGCTTAGTATGTTGATATATAAACTAGTAGTCGGTTAGGTGTTTTTTAGAGAAAACAACACAAACTTATAAGATAATCGATTTGAATGCTTTTTCATGAACTAAAAGTGTCAACAGCTGACGATATGTGGACAGCGACGCAAGGGAGCATACTTTAAATCGTGCGAACTTAAGCCGTAGTACTTGTGCGGAAATATAACCCCTAAAAAAATGATGAAAAAAAATACAAAAAAAGTACAAAATCTTACGAAAAACACACAAAAAAATGAGATAGATTTTTGAGTATACATAAATATATTAAACAAATCATAGTTTATTATTATATTACGGATATTTAGTTATAAATATTTGGAAGTGGGTGATTATTTGTTATCACGACGCAACAAAAACTTATACGAATGGAATATGAGCGGAAATTTTTATTAGGACAGACGGTTATCGAAACAAATAGTCAGTATTTAATGATTCAACGATTTTTTTATTTTGTCTTCATTCCATCACAACACAAAATGTATTTTAGTTGTCTTGTCGGTTGCGTTCTTGCTTCTTCTTAATGTAACTTTAATATTTTATTAGTTCGATATTGTGTACGTGTATCCAATTCGCAAATTATTGTTCAATACATACCAATATTATAATTTATACGATCAAATTAATGAGCTGATTGCCCATTGCGCCACGTCTGTGGGTAAACCAGGAAAGCGTTTTACTGCGTCCATGATTTGTTGTTTTGTAACCAAAATCGAAACATTTCGTATTCTTTCTGAGCGCGATTGTGTTGCGCCCCTGCGGTGATCGGTTGAATTAATTCCATGTTTATAAGATGTTCGTATGCTTTCATGACGATAGGTCTTTGGACATTTTGTATATTGCTGCTGGAGTTAGCGAATTTTGCGTATCTGGTGAAGATCATTTCGAAATTCATCGGTTGATTGTCGTAGATTTCGCAGTGATGCTTCATACTGATCAAAAGACAGATTTCTAACACGCTTAAGTCCAGAAGTTGTTCAGACACGTCGTCTTTTTCGAATAATTCAAGTTCTGCTTCGAAATCATCACAAGTTATGAAGGGATTTTCATTGTTTAGTTTTGTTACGACTGATATAACCATGTTTTTCAGTACGTTTTCATTTAGGCTGATATCTAGACATCTTTGGATAATTGTTCGGAATTTTTTATCTTTTATCAGTTTTTTGATTCTATCATTCCATTCATTTATGTATTTAGTGTTTAAAGATTCATCTTTATGTAGTGTTAGCATATTTTTCAGTCTTTCTGTGTAGAAATTCAATTCGTCGCCATTTTCCGTGCCAGGAAACAAAAAGTATTGACGATGTGAGAAGCGACTTTTCACGCGTTTTTCTAGTAATTCTATAACGTCCATTCGACATGTCACACCCAAGACACAGATTGGTGCTTGTGCTGATTGTGATACATCAAATAAATTATAGAGTAGTGTTTGATTTGTGTGTGAACAAAACAAATCGAATTCTTCTATAATGAATAAGACGCTGATTGAAGTGTGTTTGTTGCCCGTACGTAGACATGCCAACAAAAATGCTAAGTTCTCTGCAAAGCTGCCAAATACTTTCTCACCAACTACATTGTCTAGGTTCATCTGTGTTGTGATGGAAACCAGTGCCAATTTATCATCAGTGTGTAAAAATCCATTGAGATAGACAATAACACAGTTGTTTTTGAAGTGTGGTAATTCTTCTAATTCAGATAGGACGTTATTTACTAACTGTAATAGTTTAGAATGATTAGATGAGTTTATACTAGGTTTATTTTATACATACTTTGGTTTTCCTGATCCTCTGGGTCCAATGAGCAGAGCTGAGTTGGATTCTCCGAATTCAAGTGTTCTATGCAACAGGTCATAGATTTGTTTGCGCTCCTTTGGATTACCGTCGTAGTTATTATTAAGGAGGATGTTTCTTTTGAGTTTAATTCGCGTTGCTTTTAATGGTGTTTCCATTTTGTTAGCAAAACAAACCTAAGATGATCAACAGCTGAACAAGTTTCGCGCGTTTTTGTAACCTTAAACCAACAAAAAGCTCGTGGTTCATATAAATTATAACGTTTTATTTAAAACTACTTAGTTCATTCATTTGATGTTGACAAACAATGCAATTATAGGTAATAAAATAAATTTAGTACCTGTCTACAATAATTTAAACATGCGCGATAAATATTAGTTTCTTAGTTGCCAATAGATGGCGCTCGGATGCAGTATTTAGATATTTCTGGTTTGTATGCAGTGAGAGTTGTTTGTTAGTGGTAGTAAGTGGAAGTGAGCGTATCTCAATCAAGGTCTCAGGTGTTGCGATAAATTGAGACTATTAGAAATCATTTATTTTATTTTGTTTTGTTTACAACAAATGTTTAGTTGCTTTACATCTCTAACTAGTAGAATTAATCTTAAAAGTTGCTTGTACCGAAACAAAATTCTACGCTCGCATATGTAATTTATTATTTTGCACTCTTGCTAGTAATTACAATATTCAATTTATTTTCAAACATATTGTATCTCAAGAATATTTAAATTATCAACGGCGATTATCTTAAAGCAGTGAAAGATCAACATTTAGCAACATCGCAGTGTTTAAATCTGGTTCCCTCCAGTTTATCACCAGATGTTGGTACGTATTCACGCTGTTATGTTTACTACCCCCTCTTCATACTCTCGACGTAGTACACCAAACGAAACCGTTGAAACGCGTTGAATTTAATCCGAAATTGCAAACCTGTTTTGTTATTTCTTAAATTAACAGCCGCAGATATTCCAGTGCAACCTAAAAGTGCTCAGGTGCGGTAATTCGTGACAAGTTTAGTCATGTAGACATTCATCATTCTGGTAAGTCTCTCCCACAGATCAACATCCAACAGATTTTTAACGTGTTTGTTTGGTACAGGATGAAAATATTCAATTTCAACAAAGCTTGAACCTAATTTAACTAAAATGAAAGACACATTAAAAGTTAAAACACGTTCGGGACGAGTGGCAACGAGAATCACGCTTACAACCACACCATCCAAGTCTAACAATCAAAAACAGGAAAGTACAACAAACAAATCAGATTTAAACACAACCACAACTGAAACCAAGAAGGTTACATCAAAGAGAAGTACCAGAAGTACACAGAAGACAACTACCTCTTCAACAACAACAACAAATACATCGATTAGTACTAGAAATTCAGTTAAAAAAGTACCAGTGAAGATAAATTCGACAAAAACAAAAACAGAAGAACATAAAACTAAAAAAGTGAAACAACCAGTGAATAAATCCCAAAAACTTGCTGACAAATCAATCAAAACTGATGAAAATGATAATTCCATCAAAAGAAGATCATCCAGAATCTCAATTGACTTCCACGGAGTTACAGGCAGCACACCTATTGCAAAACAACAGAAAACAGCATCAAAATTGACAAAACTAAAACTATAACCAGTACATTACCAGTTTATAAGAAACCACTTCAAAAATCACCTAAAAAACAAGTGCAATTCCGAAACAATGCCAAAACATTACGACCGCGTAAACCCAACAAAAAATACGTCGATTATGAGAACTCTCTAACGCAAATATCCGACGAGGAATCTGACGATGATAAAAATGTGCCGATTTATAAACAAATCAAGAAAGCACCAGTTAAAAAGCCTAAAGATGTTTACGAATTCAATGCTGACTCGTACGATAAGTCACAAAGTGATTCCGATAATGAATACGATAAGGAAATGATTCAAGAAATGAAGCAGATTAAAAAAGTGGAAAGAAAACAAACAGTTGATAAAATTATAAAGAAAATTGTGCGTAAAAATCAAAATAAAAAAGATACAGCTCCAGTTGTGAAAGAACCAAAGGCAAAAGTTGATGTAAAAGTATTAAAACCTGTAAAAGAAGCAAAGAAAATCAATATCCAACAGAATATCGTTGTAAATATACCAGAAAAGAAGAAAATGGATGAAACTCACGTCATAGATCAAGATATTACTCCACCAGAAGAAAATTTCGTCTCGGAACTTGTAGATTCCTTCATGCAACCAGAAAATGTCAATAAAACTCAACATATAACGTTTAAAAGACCAGAAATCGGTGGTTTTCATCGTGTGTATGCAAATAGCACTATGACAAAAGCAGGAGCGTCATCTCCAGCTAGATCTAATTTAATTCTACGAAATGGTCCGTATTTTCTACAAACCAAAGGCGATTGTCTTCCATCTTTCAATCAGGACACAGTGCTTAATTCTACAACTGTAGAGTCGCATGAACCTTTATTCAACTGTCGTATAAGTGCAATTTTACCACAACCTGCAACAACTACAGAAAACACTCAGGATACTCATGTAAAACGAACAAAACAAACAAGTATTTTAAACTTTATCTCTGCTAAACCTTCTGAGGAAGATAATATGCATTGTACGTTGTTTGATGAGCATTTAATGATGAGTCCAGTGAAGAATTCAACGCCTGTTCGCAGTATTAACATCAGTCCGGATAAACGGCGTGTTTTGCGGGATTTGACCAATATTGGCACGCCGGAAAGGGAGGAATCGGATGTTGAGTTCTTTGCGTTGAGCGCACGAGCTATTCCGGTCGCTGGCGGAAAACCAACTCGTTTTGTACTCAAATCACCTAAGAAAATCGAAAATAATGTTGATATTGATGTGGAAATTGAACAAAATCATGATCAACACACGCCTGAAGATAGCCCAGCTGCTGATTCGAAAAATTTGGTTGATACAAAGAATCTTGTTGGTATTTATGAGAATTTCAGTCCTTTGGAAGTTACAAGAGTAAGTTTTCTAATGATTTTTCAAGTTTTATTGGTTTTACTAACTGTTTTGTGCAATTTTTGTTACAGAATGAAATGCCAAGCTTTACTTATACAAGAAGACGCAAACGACTTGCTTCCTATACTTCTGAGCCTTCGGATGATGCTGTGGATGATCACAAACCGAAAAAGCGTAAGAAAAGAGAAGAAATGACTAAAAAAGAGGTAATAAACATTTAGTACAGCTTTATTTGTGTTAAAATATGTATTAATCTTGTTTATTACTCTTCAGAAAGCAGAATTCCAGTCCTGGGCAGCTTCCTTTAATAAAATGTGCGAGGATATTGAGGGAGATACGTTGGAAGTCGAATAATATCAAAAAATGGTTTGATTTTTTAAACTTTTTTACTTTTTCTTGAAAATTAATCATAATCTGATCTGTACTTTTGTACCTAAATGAAATGAAATGTAATATATAAATTATTTGATACAAATAATAGAATTAAGCAACATGAATTGTTGTTTTTTGTGTTTTTGACAACAATTTTGTCGTTTTTCGTGCAAATTTGAGTTGTATTCACTTCACGAGTTCAGATTTTAAATTTATATATTGGAATGGTGTGTATTTCGAAGTGGACAACGTGTGACATATTTAGACAGATATTTTCTTTGTGCTTTTAATATGCATAACGCCCTGCTGGATAAATTTATGCTTTTGCATCAGTTAAATACACGAAAATCATTATTTTGAACCAACAAAGAAGTTTTTACTATGTAAATGATTTAAAACAAACATAATTTGTGAAATATTGATTGAATTCATTTAAATATTGATATTTTAATCGAATTTCGGTCTTGATATATTTCCAACAAGTAAAAAACGCATACAATGAAGAAACACCGCGTGGATGACTCATCGTTGATTTCCAAGAAGTCGTCGTGTGTTTACGCGCGTTATCGTTAGAGTTCGCTCGTGGGCGATCGCGCGCCGCGTTCACCCGTTGTGTGTGCTGCGCGCTGCTCCCGTGAGTATATTTTTAGCCGTGACATCACGCGCACGTCGTGTTGCCACTTGGGTCGTTGTGTCCCGCACATTACACGTTTCGGCAGGAGAGTTCGCCTCTCACACAACATACACACACACACACGCCTGCCTTACACGCTCGGTCGGTGGTTTCTCAGAAGGAGGGCATCCCTGCGTGGCGTGACTCATCTTTCGCACTTGCAACCACACACGCACAACCAACCAGAGTGTTGTGTACGTCGTGTTAGAAAGGTAGCGGCGTTGCGTTTTTGTTTTCGTTTCGGTTTCGATTTCGCGCAACGCAACACAACCACCGCTAGGATTCTATTGTCGCGCGGTTAATCGGTTCGAAACGTGTGTATTGAGACACAAGATGAAGATTGAGCTCAGCGATGGCATGTCCAACAATTCGGACTTCTCCAACGATAGTCACGTATCGCATTTTTCAACCTCCAACGCACCGACGGACTTTGGCAGCGCGGATTTCGGAGGTGTTGCACCAGGCAGTTTAATTCTCACACCTAATGCCATCAGTGTAAGTGTTTCACTCCAGTTTTACTAAAATTCCAATAAGAGTATCGTTTGTTGCATATGTTATTCTCGTGCATGCGCATTTCACGGTTAATTTGTTTCACCTCACAACAACTTTCGATTTTGTTACGACATCTTACAGAATAACACAAGTTCAACGTAAATTTTCCATACAATTACTTCTAATTGAGTGATTAAAATCATATGCGGACGAAATCAAAACAAATGATTACTTGTTTATTAAATGTTGTGTCTGATTTGCAAATTGGGAAGCGCTTTATTGTTTAAATATGCGCGCTGCGTTTATTAAACAATGCACGCGGTGGACTCGGGTGCAACTTGTGTATTCAGTGTATTGAACTGGCGAAATCATATAAAAAAAGTAGTGTGGCACGTTCGCGTTTCGTGTTCCCCATCGTTACAATTGCACATGTCGCGTATAAATGCCTAGGGGTGGCACAAATCGGCACGTGCCGGTTTTATTTCCTCGAGGGGTGCAATGGGTGCAAGTCTTGCTTAGAAATAAGCGTTCTGTACTAACCTATTACAATATTTTAGTGTAATTTCTGGAAATTATTCTTTTTTTTTGTTTTTGCGTGTTTTATGATTTAAAAGATTGTTTGTATAATCGTGGGATTTGTTTATATATGCTAGAATATTTGATGGTATCTACCTTGTGCGCTTTTCCCCTTTATTATAGAAGCGTGGAGGGTTTGTGTCGTGCGTAGTTCAGTCGGTCATGTCGGACTGACCACCCCCACATAGTATATCACTTCACCCCTCGAAAATCGATCGTCTCGTAAGTTTCAGGCGGCGCGTCTCGTCGGGAAAAGCGCAAGAGAGGCCAAAATAGGGTGCATAATTTCGTGTTGGAGCATTAAAGGTGGGAAGTGTAAACATTTCCCTTAAATTTTACTCAAATAAAATAAATTATTTGTTGTAATTTATATAAAAAATGGGGAAATGTGTTCAACTTTGTTGGTTTTTATTAATTTTCTCTGTGTAATGACGTAAAATATTTTCATTTCAAGCATTTATGAGCTAGAATATTTTTTTAAAGATATGACATTGATGGTAACATTTGAAATATTGTTGTAATTATGGTCCCAACATCCCTACAAATTGCAATGCAAATTTCTATAACTTAAGCACGATTTTTCAGCTAATTTGTTGGGGTGCACGTTACGTTACAACAAAATCATTTAAACAAAACACAAGTGAATACAACTGAGCGACGCGAAATTCATATTTAGACTTCAGGAAATATTTACCGGCATTTTTCAAGAGTAATTAAGTTTTAACCAGTTTATAAAAGATTAAACAGGTGCCAATTCGCGTAAAATCTCTATATTTATTTATTTTTTGATTCTCGGTGTAACGATAAGTCCCTATAACATGATAAAATATAATTTTATTTTATTTCATCATAGATGGCGTTAGAATGCACATATTTGCATTAAACTTGTTGTTTTGATTCTTCGATACAATGTTTCACTATCGCCGAATTGCTTGTTTGTGTTAGTGTATGATAAACAGATAAAAATCACTAAAACATGTCGATTTACGCTGCGTGCCGCATTTTATTATTTAATAACACAACACAAAAATGCATTCAACAATTTTATAACATAAAATACTTAAAATTTTCCTTAAAACTTTAATTTTAAAGCATTTTTTATACTATAAATTATCAGCTTTTAAACGGTAAACATAAAACCATAAACGAATCACTTCTTATAAATTATACTTTATCAGCACTTTTGATAGGGAGCTCGCATTACATTACAATGCATTACAATACATTGAAAGCAGATTAAGTCAAAGTAGAGAAAGTCTACCAACTCGGGCTGCGCTGTATTGGAAAAGGGACCGTTTATCGAAAAATGTTATTAACCAGCTGGAATGCTCGCGCGCCTCGGCCATTATGCATGCTGATGTTGGAGACTTGGAACTCCACTAGCGGTGGGCACGTCGCTTTGTTTTTTAAACTAAGTCAAGTAGTTCAAATACCGCTTGACCAATGACCTCGTCGACGTGCCCGGGTGCGGATACTTACTAGTTATTAGTTTTTCACTCACATGTCCATAATATATACACATGAATATTTTCCTTGTGTTATCATACACGGTGTTCAATTTCATCAGCAGTAGAATAGAATAACTGTGAATGTTTTATTTTATTGTCTTCGCGGACATATTGTATGTTTACATGTGCGTATGACCCGACCTGGCAGATGCATCGCACATAGGCAATTAAAGCAGGCGCAGTAGTTTTCTTTCTTTGTGTTTCTTTATTGTCTCCGATATTAATTATAGTGGATGTTTTAATTGTCATTTAAAAAAAATTATATTAAACTAGCTTTAACCCGCGGCTTCGCTCGCGAATATCTAAAATAATGAAGTTGCTTCCGTACGCGTCTGTAGTCACAGAAAAAGTAACAATGATGTAGAATGGCGGGAAGTTTAAAATGGCTGAAAGTATAGTCTATGGAAGTATAGTGTACAGTCTCCATAGTGTAGTCAATTGGATTTGATGTTGACGTAGCTGTCGGTAATACAGTGTGATAATACAGTGTGATGGTACTATAGTACTTAGGTTTGAGCTTCATTGCTGGAATGCTAGATGGCGTTAAAGTAGTCAAATAGCCAGATGCAGAGGTATTAATGGCTAAACAATTTCTTTATTTTATTAAAAAATCATTTTTTTTATTAAATAAAAAGTAGCCTATAACCATTCGGGGACCACTAAGAATATGTGTACAAATTTTCACGATGATCGGTTAAGTAGTTTTTGCGTGAAAGTGTAACAAACATCAGGACTTTTGCATTTATAATATTAGTAGGGATTTATATGAATTGTGAAATAGTTGAGGGAGTAGTGTAGGATGGTTGATATTTTGTGAGGGGTGCAGTTTTGGGGTGGTGTTTGTGCGGCGCCGGTTGTGTTTAGCCCTGACCTTGGGGCGGCCCCTTCGTATGTTGTTCCAGACGGCGCGCGCGGTTGAAAAATCGATATTTCGCGTCCTGTTCGTCGAACTCGTCCTGGCCACCTCCTCCCACGGATGCACTTGAACTCGTCCTCGCAAACAACTTCGGAATTCGATAATTTTCAGTGAAAGTAAAATACCGTAAGATGTTTTAGATTTGTGGGAAAAATTAGGGGTGGGAAATACCGGTATACCGGTATTTTTTAAACTAATAAATTAAAATTTATTATTTTTACTTTTCGTAGAGTCTAGGGTTCAATACCGGTATTTTTTTCAATAAAATAAAAAAAAACAGTAATAAGTAAATGGGAGGCAAAAGAATGTTGAAAAATACCGGTATTTTAAGGAAAAAAACGTTACACCGGTATTAATACCGGTATTCTACACCCCAAGTGAAAACCTATTTTGATAAATTTTTCCTCAAAAAAAAAATACAAAGTTTACCACGTGAACAAATTTTAATCTTTTAAAAAATCTTAGTTTGTTTTGCGTTTTTGGCAGATTAGCGAAACGAGGCCATAAAAATTTGCGTCTATTTCAATTCTCTGGGGAAGTTTGATGATTAGTTTTGTTTGTTTGCACGGCACTGCGTTGACAAAACTTGTAGGTCTGTTTGATAATTTTGGATTTGTCAATGTGCCAACCCGAATTTCCTATGAACCATCCTCGTATTTATTTATTAATTAAAATTAAGAAAGACGCGTGTTCAAGTCACCTGATGCTTTCGACACCTTGGCAAAACCCATTGATAAAATGATATCTTGTTATTGGAAGGGCAGGATATTGATTGGGTTCCTGGAAAGCAATTTATCACGATAGATTTATGAAAAAATCTAATGGCAAACAAATAATTTTTATTATTTTTATCGAGAAATGTTTAACACTTTAACGGAATTTTGTTGGTATTTCAGTGGAATATATTTGTAAATGCGCTCTTTGTTTGCACAGCTATACAATCCACAATCCACAATGAATGCGAACAATCAAATAATCGGTTTCTACATTTTCGGTGCATTCGTATGCACCATTTGCACTGCACAAACATTTTTACCATTTTTGTTTTGCCCGGAATTATGTTATTGTTACCAGCTGTGTGTTATGCATTGTTCACTGTTGTAATATGTTGATTGCAAGTTGTGTACTGCACTAGGGTCAGACAATTAAAAATGTATGATATGCATTTCATAACATCCAACAGTAACATAAAAGTTAGGTTAGGTTATTTCTCCCCCAACGCGTTCCCCTACATCGATCTGGTTTCTCGGTAGTGTCACATTGCATAACCCACCTTTCGTGCGCCAGCGAAATGTTAAATGAACCAAATAACAAGAAGGCGAATACAATAAAAAAAAGTTAACGATGCGGGATTCCCGAAATCACTCGCCGAGTGGGGGCAGATCGACGAATTCGCGGAACACTGCCGAAAATTTCATTCGGACGATGTTCTCGAAAGTACTAATGCTAAAACACAGCAATACCCCCACTTGTTTTTTCACCAATATGAGCGAGCACGCAGTAGTGGATAATAAATGCGTGGGAGTGAGACGTAGCGAATTGCGCGTCGCGGCCTTCGCGCGCGCGCGCGCCCAACACGTTTCAACGTATACACAACGCATACAACATTAACGTCGCGATTGCTTTTCATCGAACGTCGTAGAGTGTCGACGTCGCGCGCGCGGCCAGCCTGAATCAGTCGCCAAACAAACGTCGCACTGATAAGCACGAGGTGGAACCACCTCGGATATATATTCTCACAGCTTTTTAAACAAACAGACGTGTCGTTTGTCACTCTACGAAGTTTAACAACACCACAACTCTTGCACGCAAGCGCGCAAAAATTACTACTTAACTTAAACTAGTTTCGAAAGTGCACGCGCACAACTCGCCCACCTATGTCTCAGCTGGTGCCCTATTTGAATTTTGGACTCGATCTGTCCCAGGCCGACTTTGAGGACTGCGATATGTACACCAACTACGATCCCATTGCGCAGAAAAACAAAATGGTAAGTTTATCGATAGAATACAATATTGCGCTGATTCATCATCACGTCGCGCGCTTGTTTCGGAATTACGTAACGTGGATTACGTTTTCGACGAAATTCGCAAATAATTACGAAAAGTATTAAGAAGTTTATGTTTTTTTATGATAACAACTCCTTCATTATTTTTTTTAACTTTTGTTTTGTTTACTTGCGATTTATTTTTTGTTTTCTTGCATCACCCTGTGTGACTTTCTTCAATTGACTTTTTAATTGAGTTCAATTGTTTGAAGGCGCCATTACCAGTCATATCTATTCGCAGAATACCTTTTAAAGTAAATAAATTATTACTCTTATCTTGTGTTTGTGATAAAACGCAAAACGAAGACTTGTATAACGCGCATGCGCAGTGGTAAGCTGTCAAGAATTTGATTTGACTATTTTTAGTCATGATAAGATTCCGAATGCGTTTTATAGAATGCACGATAACGAATTATCTTCGTTTCAACATTTATATCAACAATATAGTGCGTTTGCATTATGTGTGAGTCATTTATTTCAACTCGGGACCGAACACGTGCTAAGAAAACAAAATGGTGGCTGCGATTTGTGTTTTAAGAAAGAAAAATACAAGAAATATATTCGATTGCATTATATTGTGTAATAATGTGAACCGGACACACCAAAATGGACTTTCCTTGTGTTTTTGTAGGGTAAAACTTTCTTTCTTGCGGTCGAAATCGGCAGGCGATAAGAGAATCTTTGAACGCGACCGGTGTGCGCGCGCGCCACGATGACGCACGCACGCGCCTGGTGCTTACGTCACGGCTATTCCGGGTAGAGCAACAGGTTGGAGGAAAGAAATCGGCGCTCGTGTGCGCGCTGCTTGCTTGACACGCCACGTTCATTCATCTATTATATTTTCTTACACGATTGTCATTCTGGAATGTTCGATGAAAGACGCTCAATACGTTTTGAAATCTTTCGGAATGCCTTATATGGACTTTGTGTGTGCTTTGCTTATCAGTAAAGCAGTGATTAGCGATAACATTATTGGAGCGTGTTGGTATAGGTGTTGGGCGTTTTATGTGCACGCACAAAGGCACGTCCAGACCGCCTTATCAACAACGCAGCTCATTAGATTGATTTGCTAAATATTGAGTTTGCAGCGCGCCGCCGAGTTATTTGTTCCGTTTTGTTTAATTTTTCTATTTGCTCAATAATATCAATATCTCGATAATGGGTTGGGTTTTTCCTCGATAAGCAGTTTTTATCTTTACACCTATGAAATTTAATTGAATTACTTTATTTTATTTTAAGTTGTAAGTTTTTCGGTTTTATTGCTTTGCAAGTTACAACTTGTTTTGTCTTGCTTGTTGTGCGGCGTCGTCTACCTGCCGAATTGCTGTATGCAGAATTTACGCGCCGGTGTAAATCGTTTAAGCAGAAAAAAGATTTCGAGGACGTTTGACGTCAGCGGCGCGCGGCGCTCGATGTCATGTGAGTGTATATCGCCTTGCCATTACCATCCGGCGAGTCGTGTTGTGTGTTGTGTTGCTTCGCCCACAATAATGCGCATTGTCGCATGGCGCGCGTATCGCTTCGGTCGTCCATCCGTCAAAATCCGATCCATCCGCGATTCCTGATATCCCAAAACGCAGACGCTCGTCGGCGCGGGGCTTGTCCAAGATAAGTCAACGGCGCTCAGTCAGTCAGTGTGCATTCGGCCGTCGTCGCGTGAGTTCGCTGTGCAAAAACTTGTGTGGAATATTTATCTCAGGGATTATTTAGAAATATCATAAGGTGCGTATTGTTGGTTTACATTTTTTTAGCACTCGATAACTGTAAACGCTTCAATTCAACGACAAACAATTTCGATTTAGTGTGTTAACTTGTTTGGTCTACTCGTGGCGACTGCGCGCAGGCGCTATTGTGCCACGGCTAATTATGATTATAAACTAATAACATTGTTTACTTACTACTCGGATTCGATAACGTATTGTAGCCAGGCACAAAGAATTAACCTTTAGTTTATTTAGTTTTTTTGTAACGCAAATAGCGTTCAAATACAGGAAACTGTCGCCTAAAAAATATTCACACCCATTTTTCTTATCACCCGCAACAACCACACTGTTAATATACACGCTGTAAGTACATTTCAATCGTTAGTTTAGTTTATTGCAGAGACCTTGATGTTGGTACCAGTACGAGTACCAACAACCAACAACCAACTCATCAAGTATTATTTATTTATTATTAAAAAATACAGTTTTGTGTTCAGTTAAACAACAGAAACAAAAGAAAAGAACGAAGGACGTTTGCATGTAAGTTGTGCGTATTATCTCTGATAAGAGCGAAATTTCTTCCTGATGTGTCGCAAGATCGCGCAATGTGCGTCTCAGCGTAAAGTAACCTCATTTAAACGTTTTATTATTCGGATAAAAACCTTGGCGCATTTTCTGTGGGAAAATCACTCGCTACAAATGACATTGTTCTGTCTCTGTGTGTTTGCTCTAATAGAATAAAACTATCTATGGTCAGTCCACGGCCAGTCGGTGAGATCGTGAACCTTACTCGGGAATTTACTATAAGAGATCGCTTGACAGTTTTACACGCCGCTTAAAATAAACACACACGCGCATAATTCACAAAGAAAATCATGTGCAATAAACAACGCGCTTTGTACGCGCGATGAACAAAGGCCGTGTTTTTGCTTCTGTGGAACATAATTAAACAAAAACAACGAACAACAACACACCCATTATGTGCATTATACACCCTCGGGTGGCTGGTAGTGGAGGATATTAAGTTATAAATTTTAATTTTGTGCCGGCGACGTTAATAAAACGCAAACATATTTTTGTTTTATTTGCGCTGATTAAACAGGAAAATCAACGTCTTTGTTGGGAATACGCCGAAATACTCTGTCAACTGTAATCTTTTATCGGTAAATATTGTAATATTGACTGATAATGACGGTGTTTGCTTACGCGTGTGAAAAAACGCGATGCCTGCCTGCGCAAATTTATATTTGCTTACTTAAACTCGAAATAGATTTCGAAATTTAAAAAAAAAACGAATCGAAACGAATTTTATACTTATCTTATGAATGGTTTTACTTTTTTTGTGTATGTGTGTAAGATTATGAATGAAAAATGAGTAATGCTGCACATGGTACACACTACACACTTCTCTGAAAATCGCGAAATCGTACACGTCACTATTAAATAATTTGTTTTCGAATTACGCAAAGTCAAGGTCAGTGCATCAGCTAAGTAAGTACATAGTAGGTATGTGCAACAGGTGATGATAAAAATGACACACTTTATGTAAATCTCGTTGCGTGTTGCAATTAGCTGAATTAGCAAAGAAATAGTTTAGATCCGGATTGGTAGTGGTGGTAAACTGGTAGCAATTACCAGTGGGTAGAAGTTTTGGATGAGTCATGCGTTTGGCATAAACAGCACTCAGCGTGTGCTGCGCTCTTTCTGCGTCTGAGAATCCGAGCATCGGAAATGCTAGAAATTCCTCCGGAAATCAGGTGCGCACTTGCTGCGCAGTTGTGTGTGATGTAGTTTGACCTATCAAATTCGCCACGCTATTTTTATCACTTCATCTTGAGTAAATGTTTTTCCCTTTTTGATTTTTTTTTTGAGAGTGGCTTAGGCTTTTATGTGACTTATGCGCGCTGAAAGAATGCGCTGTGGCGGAAGTTGCGGTAATTAACAGGCGTCGTCTGACCTAGCGGCGGGAACTCAGCCACCGCAAGCGCCTGTCGATTTATTGCCGACAAGCACGTTGCACGATTGTCGGACGTGCAAACAAATTATTTTCAACTTTACTAGTCGAATCATTAATAACCTAGGAGGTTTTTTTGTTCACATTTGCATGAAAAACGCACGTTTTGCGGCTTTTTGTAGCTAAAAATTCACGTTTTTAAAATTTAAAAACAAGATGGCGTTGGTTGTACCGTTTTTTAAAGGATAAAATAGTTTTTTGCACTTGTGCATTTTGGCAAATCGCCAAGATGTGCACGCATTGCACTGATTTATTTGTGATTAAGTTCTTAATTTAGTATCACTCGTGTAACTAATTTTGCGCGCTGGACTGATTAAACAAAGGATCGAATCGAAACTAGATAGAGTCGTTTTCGTTGACGCGCTGTGCGTGTATCTTCGCATCTCTCGTATTGTATGTTGTTTTGCCGCAACAACTCGTTATATAAATAAATAGTCGGTTAACGCTATGCGTTACCTCGGTCTAAATTTAAGCGACTTGCGGAATGGAGTCGTGGGCGCGATTCGTACGAAATTCGCGGCGTCGTCGTCGCCGTCGTCGCATCCCATCGCTGCGGCCTGTCTCAATCTTTGGCGCGCTGTGCACCGGGAAGCAACGCCGGCGCGAGGCTTCTCCCGACCGAATCGAAATCGCGGCGACGTTCTAGCTCGCCCAAACGAACGAACGAAATCTAAACCCAACCGAACAATAGTACAAAACTTAAATTATTTATTTAAACAAAACGAATCTACAATCGTGAATCAAACGGTTATCACAAATTACTAAATATACTATTAATATATATGCGTTAATAATTAATATTAACAACGAATTTCAACGAATCGACGAGTAAATCGCAAACAAGTGGAGTTAATATGATGGCATTCATGGATCAAAAGGAGATTGCCACCTTCTTGGCACAGGAGCTGTTCTATCAGCAGGTAGAAAGTTGAAAAAAAAAAAAGGTTTTAAGAACATTTCTAATAACGATGATTGTGTTTTACTTGATTGTGACTAATATTTTGAAGCTATTTATTGTTCGGGAAACGCTTAGTTTTATTACATTTGATCACTGCCAAGTTCACTAAAAATACACCACGCGCGCGAGCATTACAAACACGTACAAACTGAAATAATACCAACTACCAGGAAACTGAGCGCTAGACTGCCAAGAATAATAATAATAATAATGTGATTTTTTGTTGTTACAGTTTATATCATTGGAAGGGTTGCACTCGGGGGTGCCCACGCGAACGACGCCCACCTTGACGCCAACAACCCTTCGTAGTATTGAACAGACGTTCATCGAGCTGCAGTCAAAGCCACACGAGAACGAAGCCGGTTTCGTTCCTCCGATGGTACAGTCAATAGGTAAATTAAATTTTTAATTTTATTTGTTTTAATGAAGTTAATAATGTGTGTTTTGATATTTGAATAGGTAACAATCAATACATACCGGCATCGGAAGCTGATATCTACACTACAATTACACCCAACGGTAAATCCAACACCATTTGGAACTCGAACATCTCCCAATGCAGTTCTGAAGATAGCAATACCAGTCCGTCGCCAGCCGACCTCCAGAAGAATATGCAATCGCCGCCGCCAGCTGCAACTACACGGAGGAATATGGGCGGCAGGCGGCCGAATCGTGAGGTGAATTTGCCGCCCGAAGAGGAGGAACGTCGCCGTGTTCGTCGCGAACGCAACAAGGCTGCTGCGGCGCGTTGCAGGAAACGCCGCGTTGATCACACAAATGAACTACTTGATGTAAGCAGTGATTTTATTCCTATAAAAATTGATTTTAATTTTTTTGGTTTTAAATTTTTATAGGAAACTGATGAGTTGGAGAAGAAGAAGCAGGAATTGAAGCAAGAGTTTGCGGATTTGAGTAAATGTCGAGACGAACTGGAGGAACTTTTGGAGCGTCATCGTCCGCGCTGCAAGCTGACCGGCATGCATTGCCCGCCTAGTCCGCCCGAAGAGAAACCCTATGCGATGCAATTCGAACATCCAAGTATGCAGCGCGTGAAGACGGAACTAATAGATACACTGCAAGATGATGACTATTACGGGGTGCCGTCGCCGGCCAAGAAGATCATGCTTAGTTCAACCGTACCCATTTCGAAACCGAACCGCCCCAATTCCCTCAACGTCGGCGGGACCACCCCATTCGGGATGAATGCCCAAGCGACAAACAATAACAGCAAGTCGGTTTTTGATGATGCGCTTGCTGGAATTGGCATCACCACACCGTCCACCGGTATGCACTTTAACTTTGAGTCGCTGATGGTTGGAGGCACTGGCCTCACCCCCGTCTCTGCGCCATTGATTCCTAACTGCTCCACGCAGCAGAGAATACCGGTGTCGATGAGTGGCGATATTGTCTCACCCGAATCGTGCGTGCCGCCAAAACTTGTCAGTTTATAGGAGCGGTGTTTTTGGGGCGAAATTATTGGATCGTACTGAAGCTCAATCAGACATGTTTTTTTTTCTGCTGAAAGCGCTCAGTCCATATTTGTCTTCAGAAGTCGAAAAACATGCGCAATCAATATTTTGGAGTGATTGCTTTGTTCTCATGTAGGTTCGAACAAGTGTTACCAAAATGGCCAATATTAACTATTAACATAATGTACGAATTCATCATTGAATTGTTGAGATTACATGAATTTTGGAGTCGCGTGCGCGGTCAAATTGTCGTCGTCTTTTTTAAACCACGGCCGCGCGCTTTACTTGTGTCATAATTTATTGTATATTTGTGCGCGGCCGTTTGTGCTCAACTTTGCTACTTTGCTATATTACATACGATGTGTAATGTTGCCATGAACATGCCTTCATATTGATTGTAAACGAAAGAAGAGTATATATTTGAATTACCGTTGTACCAGCAACACAATCTTAAGCAGAAAGACGCAACTTGCGGAAACTTTGGATGATTAAATCAAAAATTATTTATAAATATTGAGAAAGTATTGATTATATTATAATGAAATGAATAATAATAGATGATATGATTATATCCATTATTAAAATAGGAACCCACTGATTCCTATGAATTGTCAAACGAAAGCAATTGTGTTATTACATTTTAAGAAGAAATTTGATATATTTAGAAGTATATTATATATTTATATTGTATATTCAGCAATATTGCAAAAGGCTGCAGATGATGATCCATTTTTGTCAATTTTGTATCTTAGAATTGTGGAATGATGCAGAAATCGCTAAAAAATTTTGTATTTATTTTATTGCATTGCTAATATTGTATAATAAATTAAATATATCTTTATAACAAATTTGTGCATGCAATTGTATGGGGGAATGGAGTACGTGCATTGTTGCACACAACACGGAGATGGCAAGCGAGAGGTGCGCACATGCGCGACCTTGCGCATACTCGGCGCACGGCGTAAGCACTTTCGTCGCACGCGACTTTAGTTGAGCCGGGTTGCTCGAAGTCGCGTGTTTGTCCGCGCGCGTTCGTCGCGATCCGCCGCCATATTTATTGTGAATTTGATTCTTTGTTTACTATTAAATTAAGTTTGCCGTAATTCAAAACGTTTTAAACGAATGTGGCATTAGACTTTCGTTTTATTATTATTGGACGGTGTCCAACCGATCGCTGATGGCTGCTACGAACCACGAGGAATATTTCATCTTCGCCATGGATCCTCTGGTAAGACAATAATTAAATTTACTTTCGTATTTTCGAATTTAATCTTTACAACGTCCGAGTTATTGTGGTGGCATTTTCTTAAATATTTTTTTAACGTTGCCGTCTTAACGATCTCTGTTTTTTTTTCGTTATTATTTTCCGACGCCTCTTATTTTTCGATTCGAGATTACGAGATATTAGCAAATAAAAAGTTCTCAAGTTAGCACTTTCAGCTACGTTTTTGGACCCTTTGCTCCACGAAATTTAATTATTTTATATTCTAGTTTAATAAAGAATTTTCGTATCTTTCATAATCTTCTATCCGTTGAATGCTAGCGCATTTAATTTACAAGATATTCGCTACCGGAAATCTTAAAAAATACATGTTGCAGCATACTTTCCGTAACGCGAGTTATATGCGAAGTCGTGTGTGCGCCGTAGTACTCGTTACTCTAGAAATTGTTGTTTTTTCTGTACAACAGGCAAACGTGGTGTCCCATTACCTTTGGAATAATTTTCCCAGATGCAGAATTTAATTCTTTATCACCCTGTATTTGATATTATTGCGAGATAATTCCGTACCGCGAGTTATATTTGTAGTTGTGTGTGCGCCGTAGTACTTGTTGCTCTAGAAATTGTTGTTTTTTCGGTATAACACGTGAACGCGGTGCCCCAGTAACTTCAGAATAATTTTCCCTGATGCAGAATTTAATTCTTTATCACCCTGTATTTGAATTTATTGCGAGATGAATCCGTAACACGAGTTATATTCGAATATTAGTTTAGCTGCTATGCACTATTATCGTTTATTGACTCGAATCTGTCAAGAATTCGGTAGCGGTAGCGGTAGAAGTGACTCGTGTTCAGGGCACCGTACAAGACCAGCGGTAGAAGTGACTCGTGTTCAGGGCACCGTACAAGGGCAGCGGTAGAAGTGACTCATGTTCAGGGCACCGTGCGTGGATGATTGTATAGCTGATTTCATCTCTTATATAATGCATTTTAATCAGCTTATCTTACACCCCCTCTTGGCAATTTTTGCCAATTGATAAATGTCACTTTTTAGCACATTTAGTCGCGTTTTTCGACCTTTTACTGTGAGAAATATAATTATTTTATATTTTTATCTGATAGGCAATTTTCCAATCTTTCATAATCAACAATTCGTGGGTTGCTATCTCTTTTAGTTTAAAAATATTTATTATCAAAAATCGTGGAAAAAAAGTATCAAGCACCCCCCCTTGGCAATTTTTGTCTTAAGACTTAAAATGTTGTCTCTCATATTTCCCTTTTAACTATCCTATCTGATAGAAAATAATCCGTAGATTAAGACGCTGCGATCAGATCTTATTTATCTCTTTTAGTTTACGAGATATTCGCGATTGAATAAAATAGGCAAAAATTGATAAATGTCACTTTTTAGCACTTTTAGTCGCGTTTTTCGACCTTTTACTGTGAGAAATATAATTATTTTATATTTTTATCTGATAGACAATTTTCCAATCTTTCATAATCAACAATTCGTTGGTAGCTATCGCGTTTAGTTTAAGAGATATTAATTATCAAAAATCGTCGAAAAAAAGTATCAAGCACCCCCCCTTGGCAATTTTTTCTTAAGGATGAAAATTTCATATCTCTCTGATTTCCGTTTTAACTAGCCTATCTTATAGAAAATAGTCCGCAGATTAAAACCCCGCGATCAGATCTTAATTATCTCTTTTAGTTTACGAGATATTCGCGATTGAAGAAAATCGTCAAAAATTGCAAAATGTCACTTTTTAGCACTTTCAGTCGCGTTTTTTGACCTTTTACTGTGGGAAATATAATTGTTTTATATTTTTATTTGATTGAGAATTTTCCAATCTTTCATAATCAACGATTCGTTGGTAGCTATCGCGTTTAGTTTAAGAGATATTAATTATCAAAAATCGTCGAAAAAAAGTATCAAGCACCCCCCCTTGGCAATTTTTTCTTAAGGATGAAAATTTCATCTCTCAGATTTCCGTTTTAACTAGCCTATCTTATAGAAAATAGTCCGCAGATTAAAACCCCGCGATCAGATCTTAATTATCTCTTTTAGTTTACGAGATATTCGCGATTGAAGAAAATCGTCAAAAATTGCAAAATGTCACTTTTTAGCACTTTCAGTCGCGTTTTTTGACCTTTTACTGTGGGAAATATAATTGTTTTATATTTTTATTTGATTGAGAATTTTCCAATCTTTCATAATCAACAATTCGTTGGTAGCTATCGCGTTTAGTTTAAGAGATATTAATTATCAAAAATCGTCGAAAAAAAGTATCAAGCACCCCCCCTTGGCAATTTTTTCTTAAGGATGAAAATTTCATCTCTCAGATTTCCGTTTTAACTAGCCTATCTTATAGAAAATAGTCCGCAGATTAAAACCCCGCGATCAGATCTTAATTATCTCTTTTAGTTTACGAGATATTCGCGATTGAAGAAAATCGTCAAAAATTGCAAAATGTCACTTTTTAGCACTTTCAGTCGCGTTTTTTGACCTTTTACTGTGGGAAATATAATTGTTTTATATTTTTATTTGATTGAGAATTTTCCAATCTTTCATAATCAACAATTCGTTGGTAGCTATCGCGTTTAGTTTAAGAGATATTAATTATCAAAAATCGTCGAAAAAAAGTATCAAGCACCCCCCCTTGGCAATTTTTTCTTAAGGATGAAAATTTCATCTCTCAGATTTCCGTTTTAACTAGCCTATCTTATAGAAAATAGTCCGCAGATTAAAACCCCGCGATCAGATCTTAATTATCTCTTTTAGTTTACGAGATATTCGCGATTGAAGAAAATCGTCAAAAATTGCAAAATGTCACTTTTTAGCACTTTCTGTCGCGTTTTTTGACCTTTTACTGTGGGAAATATAATTGATTTATATTTTTATTTGATTGAGAATTTTCCAATCTTTCATAATCCACAATTCGTTGGTAGCTATCTCTTTTAGTTTAAGAGATATGAATTTTTGAAAATCGTCGAAAAAAAGTATCAAGCACCCCCGCTTGGCAATTTTTTCTTACGATTGAAAATTTCATCTCTTAGATTTCCGTTTTAACTATCCTAGCTTATCGAAAATAGTCCGTAGATTAAGGTGCTGCGATCAGATCTGAATTATCTCTTTTAGTTTACGAGATATTCGCGATTGAAGAAAATCGTCAAAAATTGCAAAATGTCACTTTTTAGCACTTTCAGTCGCGTTTTTTGACCTTTTACTGTGGGAAATATAATTGTTTTATATTTTTATTTGATTGAGAATTTTCCAACCTTTCATAATCAACAATTCGTTGGTAGCTATCGCGTTTAGTTTAAGAGATATTAATTATCAAAAATCGTCGAAAAAAAGTATCAAGCACCCCCCCTTGGCAATTTTTTCTTAAGGATGAAAATTTCATCTCTCAGATTTCCGTTTTAACTAGCCTATCTTATAGAAAATAGTCCGTAGATTAAGATGCTGCGATCAGAACTTAATTATCTCTTTTAGTTCACGAGATATTCACGATTGAATAAAATAGGCAAAAATTGCAAAATGTCACTTTTTAGCACTTTTAGTCGCGTTTTTCGACCTTTTACTGTAGGAAATATAATTATTGTATATTTTTATCTGATTGAGAATTTTCCAATCTTTCATAATCAACAATTCGTTGGTAGCAATCTCTTTTAGTTAAAGAGATATGAATTTTTGAAAATCGTCGAAAAAAAGTATCAAGCACCCCCCCTTGGCAATTTTTTCTTAAGGATGAAAATTTCATCTCTCAGATTTCCGTTTTAACTAGCCTATCTTATAGAAAATAGTCCGCAGATTAAAACCCCGCGATCAGATCTTAATTATCTCTTTTAGTTTACGAGATATTCGCGATTGAAGAAAATCGTCAAAAATTGGAAAATGTCACTTTTTCGCACTTTCAGTCGCGTTTTTTGACCTTTTACTGTGGGAAATATAATTGTTTTATATTTTTATTTGATTGAGAATTTTCCAATCTTTCATAATCAACAATTCGTTGGTAGCTATCGCGTTTAGTTTAAGAGATATTAATTATCAAAAATCGTCGAAAAAAGTATCAAGCACCCCCCCTTTGCAATTTTTTCTTAAGGATGAAAATTTCATCTCTCAGATTTCCGTTTTAACTAGCCTATCTTATAGAAAATAGTCCGCAGATTAAAACCCCGCGATCAGATCTTAATTATCTCTTTTAGTTTACGAGATATTCGCGATTGAAGAAAATCGTCAAAAATTGCAAAATGTCACTTTTTAGCACTTTCAGTCGCGTTTTTTGACCTTTTACTGTGGGAACTATAATTGTTTTATATTTTTATTTGATTGAGAATTTACCAATCTTTCATAATCAACAATTCGTTGGTAGCTATCGCGTTTAGTTTAAGAGATATTAATTATCAAAAATCGTCGAAAAAAAGTATCAAGCACCCCTCCTTGGCAATTTTTTCTTACGATTGAAAATTTCATCTCTCAGATTTCCGTTTTAACTATCCTAGCTTATCGAAAATAGTCCGTAGATTAAGATGCTGCGATCAGATCTTAATTATCTCTTTTAGTTTACGAGATATTCGCGATTGAAGAAAATCGTCAAAAATTGCAAAATGTCACTGTCAGCACTT